TAAAGCAGCCTGTACGGAGCCTCCCCTCCCTTTCCCCTGGCACACTGACACCAGGGGCAGGGCGGGAGGGACAGCACAGTTAATCTGAGATGTGGATGCTGCGGGAGGGGCGTCTTTGCCCAACCAGGCAAAGACACCTCTCAGATTACCGGCACACTTGGTTATCTGGCACCCCCCATTTCCCATGGGTGCCAGATAACGGAGCTTTTGCTGTAGTTCATTTTTTGTAATATCTAGGCTCTTCTGTGAATGCAGTTATGGCCTTAACATGTCACTAAAAGTTTTTAAAAAAATGACCAGTTACTTTTACCTCTCTTAAGCCAGACAAGTTTCCAATTAGTGCATTACCTAGACAGAAGGGTTTTTGGTCTCTAAGTTGATTTGTAGAATTAGTTCCCTTTTCTAGCTGTTACATTATTCATACATATTAACTTTTTTTTTTGTATTTGTCAGGGGACTCCTGTATTTGTGCATGCTGGACCTTTTGCCAATATTGCACATGGGAATTCTTCTGTTTTGGCAGACAAAATTGCCCTTAAACTAGTTGGAGAAGAAGGATTTGTGGGTAAGTAATTTTTTGGATACTCTGTTGCGAATAGTAACCGATAAGCCAGTCTCTATTGCTGTATAGTTTCCACAAACAACAAGTGTTCATGGAAGAATAAAATGGATGAGGCATGTTGGTAGGATGTTCTAAACATATAGTCGATGACATATTTTTAAGCCTCTTCAAAGATAAGTGCAAAAATGGCTTCTGCTTAATCAAAAGATACACTGAGTCTTACCTGTTCATTTTACTGAGACTTTCAACAGTCTCTGGGAACCACATGGATGGAAAAAACTCTTGACAGCTCAAATGACCTCTGCATAAAACGGTTACTTAAATTTAAATTGTACATTTTCATTATTGATGGTATCAGAGCCAGAAAGAGCTCAGCTTGTTTGAGATTCCAGGTTGAGATTGTACTGCTGACCTTTGGAAATACATTTTTGTTTCCATGTAAACTTGGTAAATTTGATGTGAAATTCAACCATGGAACCTAAGAAAGCAGTTCCAAGTGACTTTTATTAGATGATGATTGCTATTTAAACCCTCTTCTTCTGTGTTGTGAATTCAAACAATAACAGCATGGTTCTAGAGGTATAAACCCAGGAAGTCTCTCTTCATCATCTAAACTGAATGACAGGCAAAATAAACTCAAAGCTCAAATAATGGAAAGTAAATTGGATTTAAAATATCTGTTTTAAAAAAAATCTCAGTTAACAGAAGCATTGATTCTTTTTAGATAGTATTTCTGTTAGTGTGCCTATAAAGACATTTTTTCCAGAGGTGGATAATATAGATGAACAAAACTATGGTACAATGTAAAATTGCAAGTCGTTTAGCAGAAATGGTTAAGTCTTTGTTGTTCAAAATGTAGGGCACTAGTGCTTAAACAGTGTTTGACATTTTTTTCTTTACAACAGCTTTGTTCCTTCTTACCCAACACTTTCGTTTTTGTAAAATGGCATGGCATGCAAGTTTGCTTTGTTAGTTTTCATGAACATTGCATTTCTGCAAAAACAGGGATGGGCTTTTGTGCTGTAAACTGATTAAATATAAATGTGCACTTCTCGGTATCAAGGACAGAAGTAGATTAACCATCCTTTAGACACATTTAGATGCATAGTAACTTTAGCATGGACAAACCACATTTTCTGCAGTGGTGAGGCTTTTATTTTATGAAAATACTTCAGTTACAGTTACCTGTTTCCCTGATCCCCTGCTAAGTTCTAAAATACAAACTGTGTGTGTGTGCGCGCGTGCATGCACACACCTGTTTCCATCCCCAGCATAGATAATAAATGATAACTCTGAGTTCCATATAAGTCAAGCTTTTTTTTAAATAGATATATTTCATGGGCCTGTGAGAGTTGCTCCTGGTAATTAGCTCCTATCAGACAACAGAATTACAGAACAAAGGATACTTTGATTACTGGAACTATTAAATACCATTAAAAAAAAGAGGATCATTAACACCTGTAGAATAGAGTTTAGAAAGAATCAGATGTATTATAATGAGCCAGGACTTCAAATGACTGCATTACTGATGCCTGAATAGAATTGCTGCTGCCACAGACAGGCATCTGGTTTTAAACTTTGGGTGGGGCAGGAATCGAAAGGGATGGGAGGGGAGATCCACCCCTGTCCTTGTTATAGATTTTCTACATGACTTGGATAGTAGTCAAGAATGTCTAAAACAAAGCAGACAAAGTGTTTGATTTGTCTTTATTCCATTAAATTGAATTTTTCTACTTCTTCCATAAAATTTTGATTTTTCTATTACTTCATTTCTGGATGTTAATTTTGAAGAGATCACCTTTTAATCTGTAGGAAATCTTAGAACAAACATTCACCAGTCATATTCATGTTCTATTTTTATTGGGTAGTAGTAAAAATTGTTTTATGAAATCACTTTAAAAGCTTTTTTCATTTTTGTTTTCATTGTCTAAATGGCAAAGGAAATTAAACTTTTAGTAATGGCTGTAATACCTAGAGTCATCTTTATCGTTTGGTCTTTGGATCCCAAAATAATAGTTGGAGCCTTTAATTTTATTTAATCTTATGAGGTTTTTGCACATAGGCTTAATTTTAAAGAATTTAATGCAGTGGTAATAATATATTTAAAATGTACCACTATTGCACTCATGGCCAGGATTTTCATAGTTTCATAGTTTGTAGGGTCAGAAGGGACCTGAGCAGATCATCGAGTCCGACCCCCTGCCATGGCAGGAAGGAGTACTGGAGTCAAACAACCCCAGCAAGGTGTTCATCTAGCCTCCTCTTAAAGACCCCAGGGTAGGAGCCAGCACCACTTCACTTGGAAGTTGGTTCCAGATCCTAGCCACCCTGACAGTGAAGTAGCGCCTCCTGATGCCTAATCTGAATCTACCCTCTGCCAACTTGTGACCATTATTTCTAGTCACTCCTGGAAGTGCTCAGGTGAACAGGGACTCCCCCAATGCCTGCTGGTCCCCTCTGACTAGTTTGTAACAGGCCACTAGATCCCCCCTCAGCCTTCTCTTGTGGAGGCTGAACAGGTTCAGGTCCCATAGCCTCTCCTCATAGGGCCTGCCCTGCTGACCCCTGATCATGATTTTGCTGATAATACCTTTGGAAAGGATCCATTTATTCCCATATGATCCTCTAAAGGCCTATGCTAGGTGAGAACATTTGTATTCTGGATATATTAATTATTGGATCATAATGTAATTATTGCATCCATTTCATTATTACATGACATTTTTAAGTTAAAGTAAATGCTCTTAAAAAGTAGTGCTTTTCTGTTCATTCAAATAACTTCCTCTAGCTACAGTCATTAACCTTTCCAGTTTCATTTCAAGTCTGTTTCATATCACCACAGTGGAAGTAGGAAGTCATAAATGTGTTTGAAACTATATCCAAGATACAGAGTGTAAAAGAATTATATTTTGTTGTTGCTTGTTTCTGCATTCATTTCATCTCAAAGGTTCTATCAGGCAATTAGAGTATGTGTATGCACTTTCTGATAACAGATATGTGTTTTAAATGCCATCCTTTTCCATGTGTTTTCTTTATTATGCATTATTATTTTTAGCGCCACTTCCTCTGCAAGAACGTGAGGCAGCGCAACTTGAATGGCTTCAAGAGACCAGAGGGTCATCAAATCCAGATGTTCTTCTCTAGTTACATTGGCAGGTTATATCAAAAATCCACAAAAATAAATCTTCATAAAACTGACTCTTTTTTAGCTTTAAAACAGGTTGGACTTAGTTCCTCTAAACCTTGAATTAAAGAAGTCTTAGACCCTGATTTGCAAAGTGCTTCAGTATATACTTTCATCCATCCCTGTTCAGCAGAGCACTTAAATGTGCACTTACAAGTATATGGTTAAGTGCTTTAGTAAATTCAGGTCTTACTTTGTCTACTGTATTCTTTTCTGACAAAATATTTTCACTGTTGCTAGTGAGAGCAATAGTGAAAGCTTTAAGGAAGACAAGATTCTGGACAGCATTTCAAGTGTTGTAATGTTGGCTCTTCAGATAGGCCAAAAACAAAAGTCATGAAATTTGCTTCACAGTCACGGAGCATCTGTCTATATTTATATACTCATTGCTTAGTCAAGTCAATGTAGTTTTTTCTCAGGACACTCCACCATTGATATGATATTTTCAGTCAAGTAACTGCAAGAGAAGCATTAAGAAAAAACAAATACTGCTGTATATAGCCTTCATCTATCTGACAGGCATTCAGTACAGTCAACAGACAGGGCCTTTTTACTGTTCTGAAGTAACTGGGTTGTTGCCCCCCCCAAAAACTGTTGAACATCATTCGCTTATAACATCAAAGTATGAAGGCAGCTGTTGTGTATGAAAAGAAAGAATCAAATGTCTTTGGCATCAACAACAGAGAGAAACAGGTGTCTTAGCCCCTGTGCTTTTTAATATCTACTTTTCATTCCTGCTTCTTCATGTATTCAAGGACAACAATGATGGCTTTTATCTTTGAACCCAATTAGGTGGAGACTTGTTCAGCATCTCAAGGTTTAGAGTGAAAACCAAGGTCAAAGAACTGGTTCTGAGAAATTTCCTTTTTACAGATGATGTGGCCTTGATTGCCCAGAGTGTGAATCTTCCTTGCAAAATCTCTTGATCAAGTTTTCTAAATCATGCAAGAGCTTCAGGGTGGCAATTGGTCTAAAAAAGGTTGTGATAATCTACCAAGGGGTGAAAAAACGGTATCTGACATCACTCTGGAGGACACATCTCTTGGTGTCATTGACAGTTTTTGCTACTTGGTTTCTGTGATCAGCAGAAGTCTTGACCTTCAGACTGAACTGACTAACAGAATCGGAAAAGCAGCTAAAAGTTTTGGGTTGTTACAGAAACAAACAACAGCAAACTATCAGCTAAGGTAAAGATGCGAATCTGAGACTTGTGTGCTGTAATCTCTGCTTTATGATCCAGAAAGTTGGACTAAGTATGCTAGGCACATCAAGAGACTAAACACCATCCACATGAGAAGTCTGTGTAAGATCCTGAAAATAAAGTGGGAAGACAGAATACCAAACACAGAAGTACCTAGAACACAGTACTTACACACTTAGAAACCACTATCAGGAAAAGGAAGTTGTGATGGCTTGGCTGTATTAGGAGAATGGGAGAAGACTGTATCCCCAAGAATATTTTGTATGATGAAATTTGAGACATTTAGAGACGTGAAATTTAGAAAGCAGGGTTGATCCAGAGGATGGAAGCAAAGTGAGCATGCTGTAAACTTGGACTCCAACTCAGACAACATATGGATCTGCAATATTTGTAACGAGCTGTGCCCCTCTCAAGTTGGGCTCGTCAGCCACATACAGATTCACCAGGCATATGACTAGACCTCTTACATGTACACCATGAGCTCAAGGATCAATGGTTGCATACATTGCTTAGTATCAAGTGCCTGCTTTACCATGCCCCGCTGTGAAACTTTCACCAGAAAAATCCTACAAATTATAATGTTGAGTTGTTACGACAAGCCTGCCTCTCCCAGTATGT